GAGATACAGGAACACAGATTGAATGAGCCCGTGTAGTGGTGTGAGCCTTTAGATTAGTAGTTTTTCTTTTGACACATTTACACTTTGATGAATGAGGCCGCTCTGGTTCTACTTCTGTCTCTGATTCCTTCCAGCACTTAACCGGGCCAGCAACCATCCGTCCGTCTCTTCCAACAAAACTCACCGCTGGAGGAAGAAGATTCAGTCAAGTAAGAGAATGCAATTTGTTTGTTATGATCCAATGATTTCTGTCCATCTTTCCGCATTCCTGCCTTCATCTTCCCTGATGCAAGCAGTGGGCTGGCTCTCGGAAGGCGTTATGCAAATTAGATCTAAACATCTACTTCCTGGACTGAGATGCCGGCTCAGAGATGACACAGTTCTAGGCTGTATTCACAAATGTCTGACACAAAATAACCTCTTGCTACAAAGTTACAATGTTGCAGTCTGATCACCGGGGGAGGGAAGACTGAGGAAATGCTTCCTCCTGCCTGCAGCAGACGGATCACTGGAGGAGAAGAGACTGGGGAAATGCTTCCTCCTGCCTGCAGCAGTCTGATCACTGGGGGAGGGAAGACTGAGGAAATGCTTCCTCCTGTCTGCAGCAGACTGATCACTGGGGGAGGGAAGACTGAGGAAATGCTTCCTCCTGTCTGCAGCAGACTGATCACTGGGGGAGGGAAGACTGAGGAAATGCTTCCTCCTGCCTGCAGAAGACTGATCACATGGGGGGGAGGGGACTGAGGAAATGATTCCTCCTGCCTGCAGCAGACTGATCACTGGGGGAGGGAAGACTGAGGAAGTGCTTCCTCCTGCCTGCAGCAGACTGATCACTGGGGGAGGGAAGACTGAGGAAGTGCTTCCTCCTGCCTGCAGCAGCCTGATCACTGGGGAAGGGGAGACGGAGGAAATGCTTCCTCCTGCCTGCAGAAGACTGATCACTTGGGGGGGAAGGGACTGAGGAAATGATTCCTCCTGTCTGCAGCAGACTGATCATGGGGGGAGTGGAGACTGAGGAAATGCTTCCTCCTGCCTGCAGCACACTGATCACTGGGGGAGGGGAGACTGAGCAAATGCTTCCTCCTGTTTGCAGCAGACTTATGACATCATCTCAGCCTAGGCAAAATTACTAAACTGGTAGTCAAGGACGGCTTTTTAATTAAAGAAGGTGGAAGTTTAAAAAAAACAAAACAATGCAGTTGCTGTCCACTGTGACGTGTCAGGAAAGTTTTCATGTAAGGTTACTGACAGGTCCTCTTTATGGAGCCTTCGTAGGTCTCGGAAATACAAGTGTCCAGGATTCCCAGTAACACATCTCTTCCTGCAGTGTAATACGGAACACGACCTCTAGAGGGCGCTCTCCCCCCTTCCATTTCAGGCAGCCCGGCATTCCAGCCGACACACAGCAGCTGTGAGCACATGCCTGAGAAGAATTCCAAAAATGCAGCTGAAATAGTTTTCTGTGATCCAGAAAAAATTAAATAAAGGTCACCTCTGGGCGAGACGCTCGGCGGGCTTCTGTACGGCATCTTAAGTCATCTCTGTCCAGATTCTGATTTGGAGTTCCAGATTTTGTTTCATGAGGAACACGGGACACATTTTCTGGGGTAAAAGTGACCTCAGACATCGGAGGACGGACGTTCCCGACAAATACAGACATCTTATAGAGGGACACAAATAGTTACATAGTTACATAGTATTTGGGGTTGAATAAAGACGTCCATCAAGTCCAACCCATATAGGTCCACGCATCATCCCATTCTTAGGGATACTGGTACCCCTGGATATTACGGTCCCTCAAGAAATTGTCCAAACGTTTCTTGAACAAACCTACACTCTTGGCTGAAATCACTGCCGGTGGCACTGAGTTCCAGACCCTAACCGCTCTTACTGTAAAGAACCCTCTTCGCCCATTGTGCTGGAATTTTTTCTCCACCAACTTTAGGTGGTGGCCTCCAGTCTTTGTAATGCAGTTAATCTCAAACAGTTTGTTGCCAATGTTGCTGTCACCATTGAACATCTTGTACATGAAAATCATATCCCCCCTTAATGTCCTTAATTCCAGCGTAAACATGTTTAAGGTCAGAAGCCTTGTCTCATAGCTCTGGTCCTCCATTCCCCTAATTAGTTTGGTTGCCCTCCGCTGGACTCTCTCCAGTTCAAGGACATCCCTTCTCAGTACCGGCGACCAAAACTGGACCGCGTACTCCAGATGTGGCCGAACCAACGATCTATATAGAGGCAAAATTATAGACTTGTCCCTGTAATACATCCCCTTCTTAATACAGGACAAGACCCTGCTAGCTTTGTTTACCGCAGCTTGGCACTGCAAGCTACCATTTATAATAGTGACACAGGTATATAGGAGCGCCCAACAGAAGACTCGCCAACTTCCTAAAACACGTGCGCTGTCCATATTTGCCGACTTGATTCACCTTTGCTGCCATTAACACTAGACATGTAAGCTGCGGAAAAATTGGGTTCGGTTCGGATATTTCGTTATTTTGGGTTTTGGGATTCGGGTCCGAAATTCAATTTGGTCCGGGTTTCAGACTAAATAAGAAATTTTCATTAGTTTCGGATGAGTTTACGAAAAAAAACACATCTGATTGGCCAGAAAAGTCACATGTCCGAAGGCCATTCGGGTCTGGGAGCTACCACTCCCGCGGATCACCAAGAACAGATAGAGAGCTGCCCCGAAAATTCAGATCTATAGTAGCGTCCTTCCTGTGTTGGGTTCAGCTCTTTACCAACACACCTATCATGGAACTACTCTTCCCTTTAGATACACTTTAAGTACTTAAAGGAAAGCTCCATCCTGTTGTTTTTAACACTTCTTATATTATTAAGTAAAGTTTTCATCCCTGCCCTTCACCTGTACTTGTAGCTCCCATTTTGTTTATGTTGTCTTTGAAAGGCAGTCGTTTAATTTCCTTTATGTATCATTCTCAGCTTTCCCGCTTCTGATTGGTCGAAGATCATCTCAAGTGGGCAGAGATGGCACCAGAGCTCTGAGTTCTGCAGACGATGAGGTAAGAGGGAGGGACTTAGAGGGCTATACCTTATAGAGAGGGATCAGTAAAGAGTAACTACACAGCTGTGGTATATAATCAACTGTGGCTCCTCCTACTTGGTCACTGCCGATTGCAATTCAACCTCCCATCCTGTTTTTGGACTATCATCATCTGCCTTGACACATTCCATCTTGATTGGATTGAGGTGTCTGAGCTGCCTGCCTGGATATAAATGATGGGGCATGTCCCTGACACTCATTAAAGTTGAAAACGTGGCTTTAGTAAGTTACAAAACATCTTCAGCATTAAAGAACAAGTCCAGCTGAACGTGACTGACTACGACTAGCTATACCATGACCTGGATGAATGAGAACCTTCATAAAAACACCATTTGTGTTCTTCAGGGGAAGGGTTGTAGAGTATATTGATGTACAAGGCCGTTTTGATTGAACACATAGTGCTGCGTTCACTTTAGTATTTTACTGTCCTTCTTGTGCAGGTGTTCAACAATAATCCTCCAGAACATTTCGTCCAGGCTCACCTTGCTGGCCAGAGATACGAAGCTACCGAGGAAGATTGTCCGGCCATTCCTTCTTATATTCCTCATTACAAAGCTCTGTCCGGCAATAATGTGGCCCCAAAACACAGTGACCATGGGGCACCTAGGACTTTGAATTCAAATTCCACTTATCAGTATTCCTACACCCCATCCAATAATTACAGCACTCATTATCCACCTTCGGAGTATCTCAGTGACCACAGTGATGTTTTTGAAAAAGAAGAGAGGAAAGACAAACGCAACGAGCAAGACCCAACACATCGTGAGCCAAACAACCCGGCAAACCCAACATTAAAAAAGTTAGTCCTTTCCAACGAGGAAAAATCAAAACTTCTGGACTGGAATTCGACGAACCCTAGGCCACCTCCAACCAAAGACGTACACGAGCAAGCCTCTTACGTCAACCACGATCCAGGTGGGGAGGTGGAGAGCAAGCCAAAGTCGGCGTTCTCCATCTTGTCCAACGCCATAAAGAGGTCCTTCTTGCGTTCGGTCGGCTCTGCTCCCGAGAGCCCAAAACCAGTTTCAGCTGCTAAACCCAAGCCGGTATCGTCGACAAATGTTTTCGACATTTCCGGTACTTTCTTCAGAAGGAGCCGTAGCAGTTCGGAAACCCAGCCCAACCTTAACGATACCGAAATGAACTATATGTCCTACCAGTCCTCCGCATCTCGGGGTGATTTCAGACCTTCTAATGAAGGCCCTTCTTGGAATTCTTTACAGCGATCAAACGTTTCTTCTAAATTGGAGGACATGCCAAAAATGTTGGAACGGTTCACCCTCAAAGAGAACCCCCAAACCAGTGAGAATTCAGATCTACCTTTCCGGAACAGAAAAGGCTCCATTTTTTCATCTTTGAGACTGATAACCAGGCCCTCCGAAAATACTCCAACTGCATCTTCCAATGATGCTTGGTATGTACCGTGGGGACTTAGCAGGAAGGCAAATGAAAAAGAAGTGGAAGAGAGACCTCGGGCCAACTCCATGGCTGCTCCACGTCTGCTGTCTGTTCATCAGTCAGGTGAGAGAATGTTAAAGGGAATGTTGAGCTTTTTTGTTTCCTGTATCTATTATGCTGAAGACTAAACTATATTTAATGGAAAGGCCAAACGTTTTTTGTTTTGTATGCAGTGGGGAAGGGTTAGAAGAGTGGTTCTCAACCACTGCTGTCACATCAGGCTTGAACCGGCCTACTGGAGGACCCTCTGCTGGGCCCCCACCCATTGCATCACCAGAAAAGCCAGGGTACTACTACCACTTTTTAAGAATGAAAGTACCCCGTCTGAAATTACTCCATGGGCAGATTGACCTGGGCCCATTGGATCTGAAATAGTTTCAGCACTGGTGCACCGGCACATAGACAGACATCATCAAAGAGGTACACAACAGACACCAAGGATTTGGGGAACCATTCTCTCCCGGTACAAAATTATCCCCACTTACCCACTGACAGCAATGATTTCAGGAGCTATTCTTACCTGGCCACCATTATCCCACTGTCACCAATGGCTTGGGAGGCTATTGTCTCCTGGGGGACACTATCGCAGTGACACCTATTCATTAAGGGGCTATTCTCCCATGAGGGCCATGATTTCACTGGCATCACTGATTTAGGGGCTATTCTCCCCTGGGGCCCACAATCCCACTGTCACCATTGATTTGGTGGGCTGTTCTCTCCTTGGGGCTATGATTCCACTGACACCAACGAGTTGGGGTGGGGGGTTATTGACTAACACCAATGACTTGGGGGGGGTATTCTCTCCTGAGGGCCACAGTCCCACTGACCGAAATGATTTTGGGGGCTATTCTTTGTCTTCTTTGTGGTTTTATTATTTTATCTTTTAATGGGCTCTTCATTTTTAATTTTTTTATTCTTGGCTGCAGTTCTGCTTCGATTTATATAATAACGATATTAAATGACTAAAAATGAAACAAATCAACAAGGAAAACATTTTATTTATTCATTTTTGTAGTGTAGTTAAAATGTTTTGACATCTTAGGTGGGGGAGAGGGTGGGGTACAGGAGGTTGACAACTCTGCTGTGGAGCAGTGCAGCATTGTTGCCACCCCCATCACAGGAAGCTGCATGGGGTAAGTTTGCCGGCAGGAGCAAAGGAAGGCCATGGTCCTACTTTAAAGGAGAACTATGAGGTGAGTGATTTTCGCTCAGCCTCACAGTTCGGACCGACGTGTGACAATGAAATTGTCACACGTCGGCTCAATAGATCGGGAAGTGAGCGAACGCATACCGTCACTCGCTCACTTCTCGATCATCTCCCTGCAGAGAGCCGTGACTGTCAGTCACTACTCCCTGCAGGGATTCTCCTGTCCCTGACTGGCGGAACGGACGGGGGAGGGGGCAGGTACATCTGGCTCTGCCCCTAGATAGGCAGAGCCATCTGTCACTCACGCAGCTGGGTGGATCTCAACAGTAATGTCCCGGCTGCGGCGTCTCAGTATACCACGAGCTGTAGCTCTCTATATACTGAGTTTAGGGTCACGGAAAGACGCTAGTATATGTCCTCCCTTGACCCTGAGGAGAACTATGGGGGAAAACGCTTACCCCATAGTTCTCTCAAACTTTTTGGATTGAAAAAAATTACTGTTCGGTGTAATATTGTATTGTTTTCCAAGTGTTTATCCAAAAAAATAACGCCCCGCGCCAAAACAGTTAAGGCAGCAAGGTCCCAGTGAGGAAATAAATTCATATCATGTTCTCATTCTGGTCCTTGGCACTTCACCCTCACTGGCCAAGCACGCGTATGTTCCCCGCTTGCGCCCCTGACCCCCATCAGTCCCGTGTAGATGGCACATTAACAGTCGCATTCTTGCGTTGTGTACGCGCACGCATCCTCTCTCCGCGGCCCATCGGTGTCAGGAGGTTTCCGTGTCTGTATATTGTGATAAACAATTAATAACAGCTCCTCTCCGCCGCCGAAGGACGGCTCGTGATTGTTAAGCTGAGTGCTTTTAAAACAATGCGCGGCGGCCTTGCCCTTCACACCTCGCCATGCAGACTATGATTTACATGTGCGAGTAAAAGGCCATCGAGACGCAGAAACATTGCACGGCGGTGAAAGAGACAAAACGCTTTGTAAACGTGCTCCTATGGCAACCGAGTGTTAATATTAATAATCGTCATTTATTACCAGCCTGTGCAAAGTGTCATCACCGCCAGTGTGCTCATTGTCACCGGAGACTGGTAAAGAGATCCAACTCTACAGGCAGTATACAGCATGGTCTGTCTATATACTGTATATACATTCTATCTACCTGTCCATCATTCTATCTATCTATCTATCTATCTATCTATCTATCTATCTATCTATCTATCTATCTATCTATCTATTTCCCAGTGTGTGCATCTCCGAGGGAGAATTGTTTTTCATTACAATTGGAGTACTGTTGCACTCTGGGAATATATCAATTTATAAATTTGCCACTCTTTTTCCTATATGGGGGACCAAGGGCGTAACTAGAAATCACAGGGCTCCATAGCAAAATTTTGTATGGGGCCCTGTGATTTCTAGTTATACCCCTTGCAGAGCCCACTCCAGATCCCACCTGAGGGTGAACCTGCAGAGCCCACCATAGACTCTCTATGGTGGGCTCTGCAGGGTCACCCTCAGGTGGGCTGGTCGCACTCCTTACCTGTCCGCCTCCTCTTCCTCCACGGTCGCTGATGGGTCCCGCCTCCTCCTCCGTCGCCGGGCCCGCCTCCTCCCCTGCTACCGACCACGGGCCCCGCCTCCTCCACTGCCGGGTCCAGCCTGCTCCACCGCCGCTGCTGGCTCTCATTGACTCTGTGGAGAGGAACGCGCTGCTGCACAGATTACTGTCAGTGATCTGAACAGCAGCATGTTCATCTTCAGCCGCCAGAGAAAGCCACCAGCAGAGGATCCCATAGCGACCCAGTCGGCCCGCACGGCATCTGGCCGGGCCCCACTGTGCCCCGGGCCCCATAGCGGCCGCCTGGGTCGCTATGGTGATTGTTACGCCACTGATGGGGACCCCTCAGTTCTGTCTGTGACACTATCTATGCCTATCTCTATCTAGTCTATCTATCTATCTATCTATCTATCTATCTATCTATCTATCTCTATCTTTGTCCCCACATGGTAGAATTTGCCTCACTTCCTGTCCTGCAGACACCCGGACACTCTGTCACTAGGACAACCTGCCAGGGGATATAGACAGCAATACAGACCTGACAGAGGTTCCAGCCCTTCCTTTCTCTGTTCTAAACTTAAAAAAAACATTTCCTGTCACCAGGCTGCACACACTTAACAGTTGCTGAAGCAATGCCCAGTGGCACTTCATGTCAGATATTAATACTTCTAACAAAGGAACGTTATGAATAATGTAGAAGGAGCGCCAGGAATGGGCAGAATCTGGAAATAAAACAATCTTAGAACTTTATGGTAAATAAGGTCAGAGAGGCGCATGGCGTCCTCCACCAATCAGAAACAATCTTCCAGAAGTCTTGCTACATTGACTGATAAAAGCTGATCTCTGATTGGCTGCCTACGGCCGCGGTGCACCCGTGCCCTTTCCACTATGTTATTCGCTGAGCCGCTTTGTGTTTTAGACACCCTCAGACAACCTGACGCCGCGGGCTCGGGACGCTGAACAGATGTCGCCGAGCGGGCCGCGCTCCAGACGCAAAAAAAAGACACGTAAGGCTCATTTGTCTGCGAGCTGGCGAGCGTTACGCCATCGTGTATTAAAAGGGAAAAAAGATACATATATACTGCAAACCTGAAACATCCATTTTTAATTAGAGACGGAGCCCTTAAGTGCATTCATGCGCTGTCACCCCGGCTAATTGCTGTTTACAGATACAATCGAGCCAGCGCCTTGTCTGCAGTGCTTCAGATGCACACAGAGCCGGGATTGTCAGGGACGGGGTCCCTGGGGGCCTGGACGGGAGACAGGCATAAAACAGCCCCTAGGGCCCAGGATGGTGGAGACGTGCCGCGTGGCACCCGGTGCCAGGTGTTCTGCAATACGTTCCGTGTTTTAACTCACAAATCCATTCTCTTTTTTTTTTTTTTTTTTTTACTGTTTCAGAAATGAAAAACAGAGTGACAAAAAGTGAGAATTTCTCAAGCTCTTCCGATGAAGATATCTCATATGGACCATCCTCGTCGTTCAAGGTACAACGGCCTGCGTCCCTATAGAGGTCTAGTGTCCCTATAGAAGTCTAGTGTCCCTACAGAAGTCCAGTGTCCCTATAGAGGTCTAGTGTCCCTACAGCAATCTAGGGTCTGTATAGAAGTATAGTGTCCCTACAGAAGTCCAGTGTCCCTATAGAGGTCTAGTGTCCCTACAGCAATCTAGGGTCTGTATAGAAGTCTAGTGTCACTATTGAAGTCCAGTGTCCCTATAGAAGTCTAGTGTCTGTATAGAAGTCCAGTGTCCCTATAGAAGTCTAGTGTCCCTATAGAAGTCTACTGTCTGTATAGAAGTCTAGTGTCCCTACAGAAGTCTAGTGTCTGTATAGAAGTCCAGTGTCCCTATAGAAGTGTAGTGTATCTACAGAAGTCTAGTGTCCCTATAGAGGTCTAGTGTATCTACAGAAGTCTAGTGTCCCTATAGAAGTCTAGTGTCTGTATAGAAGTCTAGTGTCCTTACAGAAGTCTAGTGTCTGTATAGAAGTCTAGTGTCTGTATAGAAGTCTAGTGTCCCTATAGAAGTCTAGTGTCTGTATAGAAGTCTAGTGTCCCTACAGAAGTCTAGTGTCTGTATAGAAGTGGAGTGTCCCTATAGAGGTCTAGTGTCCCTACACAAGTCTAGTGTCCCTATAGAACTCTAGTATCTCTTTAGAAGTCTAGTGTCTGTATAGAAGTCTAGTGTCTCTACAGAGGTCTAGTGTCCCCACAGAAGTCTGGGGTCCCCATAGAAGTCTAGTGTCCCCATAGAAGTCTAGTGTCTCTATGGAAGTCTAGTGTCTCTATGGAAGTCTAATGTTTCTCATGTCATGTCTCATGTCAGCTCATACTTGACACGCCTGATTTAGATATACAGGTATGTGTATTTGATTTTTATTTTGTATATGGTTACTTGGTCCTTTAACAATCTTTTTCCTGCAGAACCCCCCGACTTCCAAGCAGCAAAGGAGGATGGAGAGAGAAGCCAGACTGAGGGCCAAACAAGAAGAGCTGAAGAGACTGCACAAGGCTCAGGTGAAACATAGAAGAATAGACCGAGTGCTCCATTGAGTTTAGATCTGTGTGTGTCCCAAACATGTTTAATGTCACTTACTGTTGACTAACTCCCTACCTCTGCTGGAAGTCTGTTCCAAGTATCTACTACCCTCTAAAATAACACTTTGTAAGGTTAGTTTTGAACTTTCTTCCCACTAAGTTGAGGTCATGACCCCGTGATCTTTTTTTAAGTGAGATCTCCAAAACTGGACACAGTTTTCTAAATGAGGTCTAACTAAAGATCTATATAGAGGAATCAGGACCTCCTTCCTCCTGCTGGCGATCCGTCTAGTGATAATAAAGATCTATATAGAGGAATCAGGACCTGCTTCCTCCTGCTGGAGATCCGTCTAGTGATAATAAAGATCTATATAGAGGAATCAGGACCTCCTTCCTCCTGCTGGGGATCCCTCTAGTGATAATAAAGATCTATATAGAGGGATCAGGACCTCCTTCCTTCTGCTGGGGACCCCTCTAGTGATAATAAAGATCTATATAGAGGGATCAGGACCTCCTTCCTTCTGCTGGTGACCCCTCTAGTGATATCTAAAGATCTATGTAGAGGAATCAGGACCTCCTTCCTTCTGCTGGGGATCCCTCTAGTGATAATAAAGATCTATATAGAGGAATCAGGACCTCCTTCCTCCTGCTGGGGATCCCTCTAGTGATATCTAAAGATCTATATAAAGGAATCAGGACCTCCTTCCTTCCTCCTGCCGGGGGATCCTTCTAGTGATAACTAAAGATCTATATAGAGGAATCAGGACTTCCTTCCTCCTGCTGGGGATCCCTCTAATGATAATAAAGATCTATATAGAGGAATCAGGACCTCCTTCCTCCTACCGGGAATCCCTCTAGTGATAATAAAGATCTATATAGAGGGATCAGGACCTCCTTCCTCCTGCTGGGGATCCCTCTAGTGATAATAAAGATCTATATAGAGGAATCAGGACCTCCTTCCTCCTGCTGGGGATCCCTCTAGTGATATCTAAAGATCTATATAAAGGAATCAGGACCTCCTTCCTCCTGCTGGAGACCCCTCTAGTGATAATAAAGATCTATATAGAGGAATCAGGACCTCCTTCCTCCTGCTGGGGATCCCTCTAGTGATAATAAAGATCTATATAGAGGAATCAGGACCTCCTTCCTCCTGCTGGGGATCCCTCTAGTGATAATAAAGATCTATATAGAGGAATCAGGACCTCCTTCCTCCTGCTGGGGATCCCTCTAGTGATAATAAAGATCTATATAGAGGAATCAGGACCTCCTTCCTCCTGCTGGGGATCCCTCTAGTGATAATAAAGATCTATATAGAGGAATCAGGACCTCCTTCCTCCTGCTGGGGATCCCTCTAGTGATAATAAAGATCTATATAGAGGAATCAGGACCTCCTTCCTCCTGCTGGGGATCCCTCTAGTGATAATAAAGATCTATATAGAGGAATCAGGACCTCCTTCCTCCTGCTGGGGATCCCTCTAGTGATAATAAAGATCTATATAGAGGAATCAGGACCTCCTTCCTCCTGCTGGGGATCCCTCTAGTGATAATAAAGATCTATATAGAGGGATCAGGACCTCCTTCCTCCTGCTGGTGATCCCTCTAGTGATAATAAAGATCTATATAGAGGAATCAGGACCTCCTTCCTCCTGCTGGGGACCCCTCTAGTGATAATAAAGATCTATATAGAAGAATCAGGACCTCCTTCCTCCTGCTGGGGACCCCTCTAGTGATATCTAAAGATCTAAGAGAAGGGACGGAGCCAGGATGATTACAACAAAACCTTATTTGCAGTTCCTCTTATCTTCATCTAAAGTAGCACCATATGTAATGCACTGAAAGTGGAGAAGAAGCTTTGTCAGTCTCAGAGTTCATGCAGAGGTCAGACAGTATGAAATAGAAGTATTAGCTGGATGGGCGATGGTCTTTAAGGCTTCATGGTGACACTTTAAAAGTCTTAAAACAATTTTTTTAATGTTTTTTGAAATGTTTGTGTCTGATTTCCTGTTTTAGGGCAATCACACACTGTGCACTGGTAATGGAGGTCGTTGCATGTTTTAGACGTTTCACACTAAACTAAAAGAAATCCTGAAGGTTGCTTTTCCTGGGTCTCTGGTGGAAGGAATAAGCTGTGTCTGCTTGGCACAGGCAGGCATTGAGCTGGTCCAGGAGGCGCAGGGTGAATAACATGAAATACCCGGAGCTGGCACAGGGAAGGTGGAGAGTGAAAGCAGAACAGAGAGAGCAGAGCAGAAAAGCTTTGAGATTAACCAATGACGTGACCTTCTCTAGCCTGACATAGATCAGCTCCCTCCGACCCAAGCTGGCAGAACAGAAGAGAATGGACCATGGCAGCATCACACACAAGAGGCCCTGTCACCAGACCATTCAGCTCAACAGCAATCTTCCCATAAGATATTATGTGCGTTTAACGCACGGTGTCCGTACTGCAGTCCGCTATGTAGGCTGCATTCACACCAGCAGCTGCACTACAACACACAGCTGTTGGTGTGTGTCCCCCCAGGCACAGAACTGATAAGCCGATCTCTCGCCCATTTTCAAACACGTGCATGCCTTACATACATGTGTTCATTCATATCAGATAGCGGGGGCGGCAAAGTTGGGTTTAATTTTTTTTTTATCACTTATTTTTCATTATTTATTTTACTATTATTAACTTTTTTTTTCAGTTAACTTTTGCTATCACAAAGGGGCTAACAAGCCCCTAAGTGACAGCATTTGAAGGTAACAGGTTCTCTTTATAGAGACATCAGGGGTCTATCAGACTCCTGATGTCTCCCCCTGCCCAGCAATACAGATGGTCAAACACAGGATTGTGCTTGATCATCTGTTTACCTGATACTTCAGCCAGGTTTTGACAGCTCTGAAGCAGGAAGCGCTGAGAGCACAGCGCTCCCTGCTTCCTTTAGCACCGAGCAGATCAGGCAACAGGTGTTCCTCGGTCTGCTCCCGCTCTACATCCTGACACTGTTCGTCGTGGTCCCGGGCCTCCCGGCGGAGCTGGAGACCTGAAAACCTTGGCGGGGTGGTACAGGGAGGGGGTGCTACATGTGATCTGGTGGCTGTACGGCTACCCAGATAATTTGTAGTTGTAGCATCCGGCCCTGCCTGACACCGGCAGTACTAGCATCCAATGAGTGAAGCGGAGTGCTGGGTTATGGCTGGAAATGGATGCACTGGTCTTGGAGGCCGGTGTATCCACTGTTAGCCATCCATAACACAGTGCAGGTCGGCGATGGCGGTCCGGACAGAACTGCCACTCGTTCCATTTCTGGTCATAGGTCCACCATTTAGTGACGCCCGCACTATAGTATTCCCCTTTGCTTCTTCCCTGCCAGCTACATGAAAGGTTATGTAGGAAGGTGTGGGGAGGGGCAGAGGAGCTGGAGCAACACAGACAGTAATTAGACACTCCCAGAAGAGGAGAGGGCTGTTTTAGGGAGTTGACTTTTTAGGCAGAGGAGCTGAAGCAACACAGACAGTAATTAGACACTCCCAGAAGAGGAGAGGGCTATGCCGTGGCAAGAGGGAAGGGTGCTGTTTTAGGGAGTTGACTTTCCTGAGCATTGCACAGTTCCGCGGTATGTTGCAAGTGAATAGAAATTGTTTATGGAAAGGATTTGCCTGATATGCAGATGGCCACGAGAGGGAGCTTTGTACAAAGCCATCTAAGAAACACAGTAATCAAAACATGGAACAGCAAGAAAAAAAAGTCAAGCTGACCTCGAAAGTGACTCTGAGGTCAGTGGTACGACAATGGCTGAAAAATGTGAAATACTTAATACATTTCCCTTTAAAATGATCCCGTTTGCGCCTTATTTGTAGCCTTTTACAAAAGCCGCATTATAAAGGAAATCCGCGGCCCCCGAAGCCCCTTTAGAAAGCCGAGCCATAAAAGCAATTCATCTTGTTTTCTAACCCGGGACTGAGGGCTGCCGGTAAACAGACCGGCTCTAGAGCCACCTAATTGTATGATGTTCCAGGAAACCGTCAAGAACTGCGCGCCGCAGGCACGCCGCGTGAAGTAGGCAGCACCCACGCAAGAGTAACACTGTAACAAGTGGTCTTTTTTTTTTTTTCTTCCTTTAGACAATACAGCGTCAGCTACAAGAGACAGAAGAGAAGCACCGGGCTCTTGAGATCCAAGGTATCAGGTTGGAGAAAGCTCTTCGAGGAGAAGCGGGTAAAGCACTAAAACAGCACTCTTTTGTACGGCGTCAGGTATACAATTGTACGGGGGGCGGGGGGCCTATAGGAGAGCAACTTTTGTAGTATGCTTGAGTAAAGAGAAGGCGCTATTGTGTGTTACTGTAGTAGGGGTGACCTGTGCTACTGCTACATCAATGGACAAGAGAAAAGGAGGCTTGTAGACACTTAGGGTCAAGCGAGAGGTTTACTTTTTGCAATACTTTTTGAAAAACACTTTTTCTCTACTGAAATCATTTTTTTCTTTACTCTGTCCGCATAAAAATGGTCATAATACATATTACGATGTGGCTTTAGAATAGAAAAAAAAACACCTTTCTGAAAAGGAACTTCTACAACATGGGTGACCTGAGGTGCTGCTTTAGAAATGTATCTGTAAAAAATAAGTCAAGGCAACTGGACTTGCAATATTTTACTTGAGGATGCTTTGCTGGTCATCCGACCAGCTTTCTCAATTCAGAATGACTTGTACAGAAATCCTCTGAGAATAAATATGGTGAATGTTGCTCGAATTAACATACGCAGCACAGAGGAAACAATGGTATCCTATGGTCAGGGACGGATTTCCCACAGGGGCAGCAGGGAGTAGAGGGGCAGCAGGGGTGTGGAATTCCTATCTCCCGATGCCTGGGACATGCAGTTCCGGGCGCCTGGGCGGGTATTTGCTTTCTACATTTAGCCCTGCTTTGAGCTAAATGAACAGCGAGGGCAGCCTGCAGGTCCTTTCTCCATGGGGGGGGTGGGGGGGTTTGTTTGGCGGGGAGGGGTGCGCATAGAGGAACCTGGCCTTGGGGCAACAAATCCGGCCCTACCTTTGATGTTACATCCTTCTTCACCTGAATGCCCACCACACAGGCAATTAAAACAGTGAACAAACACGGTTGCTACGCCCTAGGCAGCAGCACAGAACTTAACCCAAATCAAGTGTGCGCCTTATTGGACCTTTGCCCGTGTACCGCCTATTTCAACTACAGACACTTTTTGAAAAACACTTTTTTAACAGAAAACATTTTTTTTCAATTCGCATAAAAACTGTCTGTAATACATATTAAAATGCAGCTTCAGAAAAGGAAAGGTAGGTTTATAGTCATTTAGGGTCACACCAGAGCTACAGACACTTTACGTTTTAATACACTGTATGAAAAACACTTTTTTTTTCCGAAGCTGCATTTTAATATGTTATGTGGCCAATTTCTATGCCAACAGAGTAAAAAAAAAAAAATGTGATTAAGTAAAAAATGTTAAGTGCGTTAAAAATGTAAATCGTCTGTTTCTCTTGTGTGATATATACATATATACTGTAAACCTCCCTATCTTCTTGTTGTCAATTGAGGCAGCAGCAGCAGCTCAGGTCACCTGTACTGCAGTACAATACAATAAGACCTTCACTTAAAGAAAACATTTTATTTTTTGCTTTTCTGAAGTTGCGTTTTAATATGTATCATGAACAGTTTTTATGCCAATAGAATTTTTAAAACAGTTTTTCGGTGTTTTTGATACAGTGTATTAAAAATGTAATGTGTCTGTAGCTTTTGTCCGTTCCCAAATGGCTACAAGCCTCCCTTTTTCTTGTGAATTGATGCAGCGGTAGCCCAGGTCAACTTGTACTGTAGTCAGGGCCGGATTTCCCACAAGGCCAACCAAGCCCCGGCCTTGGGGCAGCAGGGAGTAGAGGGGCAGCGGGGGTGTGGAATTCCTATCTCCCGATGCCCGGGACATGCAGTTCTGGGCGCCGGGCGGGTGGTTGTTTTCTATGCAGCTGCGTTTTTATATATTATGTGGACAGTTTTTATGCCAATAAATGCCAAAAAAATGTGATTCAGTGAAAAAAAAAAAATTTCTGAAAAGGAACTTGCAGTTTACAATGTCACCACGACCACGCGGAGCCCCGGTATTGTACGAGGCTTATAGGAGAGCAACCTATGTAGAGTGCTTAAGAAGCGAGAAGGTGTTATTTATTGTGTGTTACTATAGTGCGGGTGACCTGGGCTACCGCCGCATCAATTCACAAGAAGATCTGAGGTTTCTAGTCATTTAGGGCAGGTTCACACCATTTTCTGGACCAGATCTGGTGCATTTTGCCGCGTTTTTGATGCGTTCAATTTTAGGTCTTGCTTGGGGACCTCTTGCAAGACCTACAGAGGTTTCAGAGGTGCTCAAATGATCATAGCCGGGGACAACCTGGGCAGCAATGCCTCTGCACTCGTCCATCTTCCTATTATTGTTATTATATCGCCCATGCCTCGGATCATGCAGCTCTGGGCAGGCTTCCACTAATGTTCTACAAAGAATTTGGTGTCCACTTCAGCCATCATGGTTCCTATCTTCACAAATCTCTCTCTCTCTCTCTCCATAGTCCAGGGGTGATGAGATCATCCAAAGCAGCCCAAAAAAAAAATTAGTTTTTTTTCCCGTTGCATTCCGTTCTTGACGCGTTTGTGCGCGTTTGCGGTGTTCCAGACCAGACAAAATGTGACACGCAGTGTTTTTCTGGTCTGGAACTGACGGCGATGGTGTGAACTGAGCCCAAGAAGAGCATAGGGAAACATTGGGATGCATTTTAGGTCCAGAAACAATCTGGTCTGGTCTGGAGGTGATCTGAAGGTGGTGTGAATGAGCCCTAAGGCTGGGTTCACACCTAGGCGCATCCAATATGCGCGTTTCGTGCCGTGCGTTTTTACCGCGATTCGCGGTAAAAAAACGCACGACAAACGCGTGTTTCCGAGGGCTACCTGGCTGTATCCCAATGGATACGCGTGGACAAATACGCCCCAAAGAAGCTCCTGTACTTTTTTGGGCGTAGGATGTTTTGTAGCGCGTTTATTTGGCCTGTAATACACCCAGGTGGGGACCATACCCATAGGAAATAATGGGATTTCTATGTTTGAGCGTTTTGCAGAGCGTAGGAACGCGCTACAAAACGCCCAGGTGTGCCTTAGGGACAGAAGGGAGCTTCAGACACATCACATTTCTAATACACTGTATGAAAAAAAAATTTTTTTTTTTGCTTTTCTGAAGCCGCATTTCAAAATGTCACGTGACTAATTTTTATGCCAATAGAGTTGTGATTTAGTAAAAAAACAAAAAAGTATATTTCGGAAAAGGAATGGGAGGTTTATAGTCATTTAGGGTCACATGAGAGCTGCAGACACTTTGTTATACACTGTATGAAAAACCTTGTATGGAAAAAAAAAAAAAAACTATGAAAAAAAAATACTAAATCACATTTTTTTTTACTCTGTTGGCATAAAAACCGCCCACATAACAGATTAAAAGGCAGCTTCAGAAAAGAAAGAAAAAAAAGACTTTTCTGAAAAGGAGCTTGCAGTTTACAATGTCACCGTGCCTCTAATGGCCACACACATATGGAGAGACCGCACAGTGCTGGGTATTGTACGGGGCCTCTAGGAGAGTAACTTATATAGAATGCTTAATAAACAAGAAGGCGTCATTGTGTGTTACTATAGTACAGGTGACCCAAGGTACCGCTGCATCAATGGACGAGAAAAGGGGGGGCCCGTAGGCATTTGGGGTCAGACAAAAGCTACGGACACATTACACTGTATGAAAAACACTTTTGTAACTGAATAACATTTTTTAAAATTCTATTGGCGTGAAAAATAGTCATGCACCGATACCGGTTTTCCAGTATCGAGAACGAGTACCGATACGTAATGACCCGCCTCCCGGCTTCCTGATTGGCCAGGAAGCCGCCTTCTTGGCCAATCAGCATCAAGCCGGCTGCTCCTTGTGCTCCTGCACTGACTGATGCACATTTCCTGGTCCACTTGGGTTTTGCTAACCTCTTGACCCCAGCTGTCAGCTCGACCTCTAGAACTATTCGCCTTCCAGGACTCTCTGCCTCAGAGAACTTTCTTTCCCTCGGTGCATGTAAGTTCCTTAGTAGTACTTGATACCTCCCATTATTCCTCCTGTCCAGAGGGACTTGCTGACCTAACTAGATCATCTGGGACTCACCTGAATAAAGATCTTTATCCTCAGTCAGGAAGCCAGGTGACGGATAATGACCCGCCTCCCGGCTTCCTGATTGGCCAGGAAGCCGCCTTCTTGGCCAAACAGCATCAAGCCGGCTGCTCCTTGTGCTCCTGCACTGACTGATGCACATTTCCTGGTCCACTTGGGTTTTGCTAACCTCTTGACCCCAGCTGTCAGCTCGACCTCTAGAACTATTCGCCTTCCAGGACCCTCTGCCTCAGAGAACTTTCTTTCCCTCGGTGCATGTAAGTTCCTTAGTAGTACTTGATACCTCCCATTATTCCTCCTGTCCAGAGGGACTTGCTGACCTAACTAGATCATCTGGGACTCACCTGAATAAAGATCTTTATCCTCAGTCAGGAAGCCAGGTGACTCCATTACTGACCCACCGCCCGGGTTCCTGACTGGCCAGGAAGCCAACTCCATGTTCCCTCGCGGCACTGCCGGCCAGAGGAAATCTCCCTCTGACTGGAAGTTCCGGGAAACGGAGAAAGTATCGGAGCATTTGGGCGAGTACAAGTACTTGCCCAAAAACTCGGTGTTGGCACTGATACTAGTATCGGTATCGGTGCATCCCTATTAAAAACTGTCCCTTATACATATTTTAAAAAAGCAACTTAAGAAAAGCAAAAAAGAATCATTTTTCCTTAAAGGAACACAGTGCCACTCCCACGGGGAGAAATTCAGAAAACTCTGGTCCACTCCTCAATGTACAGATATGGGTGCCTCTTACTGGCTCCCAATGATCACTGAATGGGCCACCTGACCGCCGTGTACGTTAGCACGTGAAAACCATGCACACTAATGTATATGTGGTAACGCAATGCACCGGAGCACCGGCGGTCGTCTACCCAGACATAATATGTCCATTAGAACTGAATGAGCGGGTTCATGAGATGTCCTGGTGTTCATGTGGGTCCAGCTGGAGTTCTGCACGTGCACTTCCCTGTTCTATAAACGACGTCTGACACAACAGTGACT